AGACGGGGTTTCACCGTGTTAACCAGGATGGTCTCGATCTTCTGACCTTGTGATCCTCCCGCCTCGGCCTCCCAAAGTGCTGGGACCACAGGCGTGAGCCACCACGCCTGGCCTGTTTTATGTCTTAATTCTCCATTTGTCATTAACAGCTCAGAACCAAAGGGAGAAATAAATAATGCTATGAAAATGTGTAGCTGTTGCAGCATTTATAATATCCAGCAGGAATAGTTAAGATATGAGGGGAAAATTGTTAATTATTAAAAACAATATTCCATATAAATACCAAGGCATGTCCTGCTCCTGGAGGCTTTTAACAATGTTTTACTTGGTGATGCTTAGGGTTGAACATGAAAAGAAATGAAATAATCATGATGATTTATATTTCATGATGTGATTTAAAAGCCATTGTAAGAATGATCTTTTCCATCCTCAGAGCAACCATGAAGAATATTATTATTGTCCTATTTATAGATGTAAAAACTAAAGCTCAGAGAGGCTGAGTGACTTACTCAAAGAACCATAGCTGACGATGATTGTAATGAACTCAAGGTGTCTTTATCTGAGATCAGAAATACTACCACTATAGATAAAATAGTGCTTGTAACTTCCACATATTATTTTCAGTTGTGTGTTAAATACAAATGTGAATAAATTAGATGAGTTGTGAAGATGATCTAACTAGTATATTAGCTATAACTTTAAGAACAAAATGCTTTTTGTAGCTTCTGAGATATGTTCATAATACTGTTACATTGTACAGTAGGAATTTGTCATTCATTTGTTTCTCCAAGTATTTACTGAGTACCTACTGTATACCAGCATTGGAAGCAGCCACTGAGATGAAGAAGAATTCTTGTGTTCCAGTACCCCAGAATCTAGTGGAGAGAAAAGCAAAAACAATCACAAATAAATGTGACAAGTGTAACAGTGCTGAGCAAGCAGATGTGTTTTGTACTCAGCCCTCCTGGGAAGGCCAAGGCAGATTCCTTTGAAAAATGATGTCGAGGACAGGTGAAGGATGCTAAGTTAGGGGTCTAACTTATGTGTAGAATGCAGGGGAAAGTGCCAGACAGAAGGAATACTATTCAGAAAACATGGATATATGCAGAACCATAAAGTGTTAAGATCTTATGGAAATATCTTGTCTAGACAGTCTCAAGCAGCACACACAAAGTAGACACTTTGCAAGAGCATTTATTTAAAATGCATTTGGTACTTAAAAATGAATCATTTGTAGCTTGTTATTTAATTAACAACTTAGCAAAAGAGGGATGGTAATGGTAAAGTTCTGCAAGTCTTATACTATGAATTGGAAATCCTCAAAGACCTCAAAAACTAACTTAAATTATTAATGCTTAATTATGCAGACTATGGAGAATATTATGGAAAAGTATATTCAGGTTAGTGAAATATTGATTAACTTTACCATTAATAGATAATGTTTCCATGTACTCTCTATAGGGGTAGAATTGCCCAACTATAACATCATCAAATTCTTAAAAGAACTTGTCTCTCTGCATAGGAATGGTATGCTTGTGATCAGCTGGACCTTCTGAAACACGTTAAGGTACATGTGCCTCATAATGACACATTTTGGCCAGTGATGATCCGTATATAGGATGGCAGTCCTATAATAATTTTTTTTTCTTGAGACAGGGTCTCACTGTCACCCAAGCTGGAGTGCAGTGGTGCCATCCTCCCGGGTCAGCCTTTCAAGTAGGTGGGACTACAGGCATGTGCCACCACACCACCTAATTTTTTTGTACTTTTTGTAGAGATAGGGTCTCCCTATGTTGTCAGGATGATTTCAAACTCCTGGCCCTAAGTGATCCTCCTACCTGGGCCTCCAAAAGTGCTGGGATTACAGGTGTGAGCCACCACAATGGCCAAGATTATAATTAAGCTGAAAATTTTCTACTACCTAGTAATGTCATAGCCTTATAATGTGTCAGTGTAACACACTATTCACGTGTTTATGGTAATGCTGGTGTAAACAAACTTACTGTGATATCAGTCATATAAAAGTATAGCATATACAACTTATATACAGTATATAGTACTTGAAAA